TTTACTTGTAACCACGCTGTGTATGTCGTCTCCTGTTTTATTGAGTTATTTAAGAATATTGTTACGAAATGATGCTGTAATGGCGGAATTAAAATATATATATATATATATACTCTCATGTTCTGTATTCTGCGATGATGCGGTTCTACATTATAAGTAGATATCAAATTTTAAGACTCAAAATAAAATAATCGTAATTAATTTTATTACATTAATCTAGTTATCGACATATTATTTATTAGATTATTGACTATCAGCCTATTAAAAAGAATTCCAGACAAAATTAAAGCAAATTAGTTCCAATAGCTATCGATAGATGGGGAGACTAAACCAAAATTAAAACCTGAAAATATGAGAAATTAGAGTATTTCAATGTGATATGTATTTTATTTCTACTTTCTTCTCTATTTATCTTCCATCAAAGAATCAACAATTTACGGTGGTCTTCATCAACTACAAAAATTAATTTCTGGACAAATGGAAATCGGAAATACAAAACCGCTGTCGTTTTCAAGTAGTGAGGTAAGATAATTTTGACTATGACATAGAAAATAAAAATAACTGTTCAAACATAGTGAGACTAAATATTATTTGTGTAAAAGGTGTGAAAAGGAATTGTAAATGGAAATGTTTGTTGATAATGGAATGACTTTTCTAATCACATCAACGTGATTTTGATCCATAAAATTATATTTTACAATAGGATCACTTCGTGTTTTTTTTGTGTTTTTTTTACTTCTGGAATACGGTTCTAATAGACAATTAGATATAAAATATTAAAAACTACAGTTTTGTTGCTTTTAACTATTTCCTGCTAACAGGCGGTAAAATATGTTTTAACATAACTTTATCGAATTTGTTTTGTGTTGTTGGTGTTGTTTAAATGAATGAGTGAACTAGTGTTTATATATACTTACTAACAACTCCAGCTAAAGGAAGACACAGACTACGTGTTGGTTGTTTCTGCTGAAAACAGATTTGGGATACATTCCTTTTTACCATCTACCCACCTTGTTAGACGTACAACCAAACCACTAGGTCTCACTCTACGGGGTCCTAGGGTTGTCGAAGCTGAGCGTGACGTCACATTCACTGTTATTGTTGACATTTGTGGAGATTTGGACTTAACGACATCGGGCTTACAAGTAAGCTAGCATTAAAGTACTTCTTTTTTTTTCTTTTTTTTTGAGAAAGAACCACGGGATCATTATTTTAGATGTTCTATGTTCTTCAACCCAGTAACTCCATGTTTCAACCCTCATTAGGGCCTGAAGGTGGCCTAGCGATCGGTGTGTTGGACTGGGGGTTGTACGTTGGAGACGTGACTTTAAGAAGTACGTTTCGCACTTTCAAGTGTGGTGCATTATAATAATCAGTCAATCCCGTCTTCTCTTTCATCCGAAGTTGAAATTTAAGGATAGGTATGTCTGAACCATAGATGTATTTAACAAGGAGACATAAATGTAGATTTTAGCAGGGTAGAAATCTTCAGCTAAGACAGCTTTATTTTTCTAACAGGGTGGTTGACCTTTGGAATGGGTTGCTTTTAGATATGATAGATGCAGTTAATCTAAGGGAGTTTAAGGGAAAGCTTGATAACTATTTGAATGATATGGACTGATTTTGAGGGTTTTTTTTAGCGTTTAGTTTAATAGGACGGCCTAAATGGACCAAAGTATCCTTTCGTTTCGTTATGGCCGCTTAGTCCATAATGTACATAAGGTCTCGTTTAGGTTAACAAATAAATCTTATTATCATTTCCTTCAGCGCTGCATTAAAAATATTTTTAATAACTTAGGTTATTGTAGTGTGTGACTCAGGTTTGTCAGGAATGTGTTAGCTTTTACTTTCTACATTATATCTGGCATGGTCTGGTGGTTAGGGCGCTCAAATCCTCGTCACCGAACATGCTCGCCCTTTCAGCCGTGGAAGCGTTATAATGTGACGGTCAATCCCACTGTTCGTTGGTAAAAAGAGTAGCCCAAGAGTTGGCGGTGGGTGTTCTTGAATAGTTTCCTTCCCTCTAGTCTATTACTTCTAAATTAGGGACAGCTAACGCAGATGGCCTTCTTGTAGTTTTGCCCGAAATTCAAACCAAACTTCCTGCATCAGCAACTAAAAATACGAGTAAAATGAAATTTAGATTCTGGGCATCTTGCATCTTTATATGTTAGAGGCAATTCCGAATTTACTAGATGTAGCTTCAAGAAACTTGATAAGCTTCTGGTAAACATTACAAGTCTGTGGTACTCATAAAATCAGATTTTGTAATAAAGGTTTGACTGGGAATTCACGAAGCCTTTACTGAGTCAGTCTGAATGAACGGTGATTTTCATGCTAAAACTCTAATCTTCATTTTACAGTTTCACTGTTTTTTTTAATTTGCATAACCTATAGAACCTCCTAAATGAATGTGAAAATTTTTCTTTCGGTAAAATATTGTTTCATATTTGTTATTATCTCTGCCCTAACACTGACATTAACGAAATCTTCAAAGCATGGTAAAATCAAAGTTGAAAAAACACAAATGAAGATAAAAAAATATTTTTTTTATATATTTCTAGAATAATTGGTTCTACATTTAAGTTCTGGTTTGTCAGTATCTATAATATGTGTTTGTAATTAGATAAATACTCAGTAAATCATATAAGGGTAGAAAAAAGGTCTACAATGGTCATTTGAAAGTGCAAAGGCATCATATAACATAGACAAGTGAAGATGGAGAACTTATTTCAAAACTATTTTTTTGAAATTAGGAATTTAAAATTTAAATAATACAAACATTGGAATTATAAACTATGTTTGGTGTCAGGCTTACTGACACATTAACAATAAAGTTGTTTAATTAAGTTTTCAGTCTAACTCTTTATAAGGTCATGACATCTGCACTTTGACCCAAACATTGACATAGTTAACACGATGATAAAACTTTGTAACTGTCACGTTACTATGTGCTAAAATGGAAAGTTAAAGGTATCGTTTCATAAGGACAAACACTGACTCTGTTTATACAATTTTTATCAAAACATCGTCTATAGATACCTTTAGTAAATTACAAGACCTTGAGAAATTTAATCAATTTTTTTATCTATTTATCTTTTATATGTAGAATTTATAATTCTCTAAAATCTTTAACTGTGTGATTTTTGTTCTCGGTTAATGTGTTTTTTATACGAAAAAGATGTAAAAATTCGGTTGTTACCATGTGCGACTTATTACCAATACATAACTCCACGTAGCTTGTATTTAGATATTATTTTCTATTTGATTATGACTGTAAAAACTATCAGATAAAATATTATTTTCTATTTGATTATGAGTGGAACCTGGCCATGCCGGGCCTTCTCTAATGATAAAAATACGTTTTCTACTGTTAAATCTTCTCTCTTCTATTTCTTTTCCACCGAGATAGAGACAAGTATTGGCAATGCAATTGTTTCATAAGTAAAGCCTGAAATTTGGTTACAAAACACAAGTATTTAGGAAGTTTATTTAGCCTATAAGATAATTATTAGGGTTACTTGTAAGTCAAGACCAAAAGTAACTATAATCTTCACGGAAAACTAAGGCTTTTTCACTATTGGCTGAGAGCTACGGAAACATTCATTTTACTGGGACTGATGTGATTTTAGTTTAGCAAAAATGTAAACTATTGTCAAAGTATATGCTGCTAACTAACAACAGTATGTGTGCAAGACACTGTATGAATAAAGATGAATTTACTTTAATCAAATTTGTATCCAGTTTCAGTACTTCTTACCTTATTATCCACACACCCACTTCTCTTTCACTCACAAGTCCATGAATTTGACTCGTCTGCGGAATAGCATTCCGGACTTAACCATCATAAGGTGTAAAGTAATAACTCAGTAACTGTTCTTTTTTTTATTATGAGTATTAATGATTTTGATTTTGTATTTATTTTCAGTTCATTTGGAGCATTTCTCCTCAAGTTGTCGACTTAAGTGGGTTTTCTGGAAACACTGCTATTGTTCCTAAAGGTTATCTCCAGCTTGGAATTACCTATAACCTTATAGTAAACGGTAAGTTCTGAACTTAGGTATAACCAGATTAATAGATGAATTTATAAATGAAAACAAAGATACATAGAAATTCATGGCTTCCTTTTTTTGTTTTTCAGTGTCTGTAAGCAATGATGAGAGTCAATGGAATGCTTTGTCACAGACCTTAGGTGTTAAAAAATCGAACTTACAGGCTGTTATTAGCTCGTCATATCTTGTGGTTGGAGACCAGACATCGTTCAAGATAGATGGTGCTCTATCTTTTGATCCAAGTAACGCTGCTGGCGATCTCCAGTTACTGTGGTCTTGTACTGACCAGATGACCACTAATACGTCCTGTTTCGAAGCCAGTTTGTTGGTTAACGAGCAGGTTCTCACTGTACCAGCAGGATCACTTCCACCTAAGACGTAAGTTAGAAGATATCAACTTATTGTAGATTAACTTATGTTTAACGGTATTGGCTGTTTTATTTCAGGATAATATCCACCTAATACGTATTAGATATTAACTTATTGTAGATTAACTTATGTTTAATGACATTGGCTGTGTTATTTCAGGTCGAGTGTGTTTCGTTATAAATCAGTTCTAAAATAGTTGTAAGGATTAGTTGATTGATAAAAATTTAAAACAAAAAGGTGAGATACTTTAAAGAGGCTAAATATCTGCCTCTAAAACAGTTATTTATCTGAAAGTTAACTCCTACACGTTGGTCTATTTATCTGAAAGTTAACTCCTACAATTTGGTCTATTTATCTGAAAGTTAACTCCTACAAGTTGGTCTATTTATCTGAAAGTTAACTCCTACAATTTGGTCTATTTATCTGAAAGTTAACTCCTACAAGTTGGTCTATTTATCTGAAAGTTAACTCCTACAAGTTGGTCTATTTACCTGAAAGTTAACTCCTACAAGTTGGTCTATTTATCTGAAAGTTAACTCCTACAAGTTGGTCTATTCATCTGAAAGTTAACTCCTACAAGTTGGTCTATTAAACGTATGACCCCGTCTCCACAGAAAGCAACAAAAACGAACTATGCTTACAAAACTGTCAGAATGTAATTTTATATAATCATTATTGAACAGTACCCCTGCTACATTATCGATATGTTTGGGCAGGAAAATCTTCCAGTATGTCTCGAGCCAGTAGTTTATGTTTCATATAGCAATCTTTATTGCGTTTGTCAGTATTTTCTCATATGCTTTTTTTTTGTTTCTTTATAACATACACAGAAAAGAAACTCTATAGGTGAAAGTTGAGTGGAATGTTACCCTGACAAGTAGAATCGAGTGAGCAAAGGTTTTGTCTTATGTTTTGTCGTATTATGAGATGTGAACATTTCTTGATGGTTAGTGGACCTCGTGCAATATCAGGTGTGAACATTTCCTGATGGTTAATGGACCTTGTGCAGTATGAGATGTGAACATTTCCTGATGGTTAGTGGACCTAGTGCAATATCAGGTGTGAACATTTCCTGATGGTCAGTGGATCAAGTGCAATATCAGGTGTGAAGATTTGCTGATGATTAGTGGACCTTGTGTAGTATGAGATGTGAACATTTCCTGATGATCAGTGGACCAAGTGCAATATCAGGTGTGAAATTTCTTGATGGTTAGTGGACCTAGTGCAATATCAGGTGTGAAGATTTCCTGAGGGTTAGTGGACCTTGTGCAGTATGAGATGTAAAGATTCCCTGATTGTTAGTGGACCTAGTGCAGAATGAGGTGTGAAGATTTCCTGGTGGTTAGTGAACCTAGTACAGTATGAGGTGTGAAGATTTCCTGGTGGTTTGTGGACCTAGTGAAGTATGAGGTGTGAACATCTCATTCAGGTGTGCAAAGACAGACATGGAGCAGTGATTACAGTCTTGGTTGTAGATTAGTATTATTCAGTTCAGAGTAGCCGTGTACATGGAAGGTGCTTCTGACTAGCTGTCATATCTTTGGTCAGTAATTTTAAGTTTAAAATGGATCCAAACCTTGGGTTTAGTCTGTGTCACATAAGGCACTGTTCAAGTTTAAAGTGCCAAATATCCTTTAAAAGACACTTTCTAAATCCAACTTACACAGGACAACTGTTTGCTGTTTACATTCATTTGATATCTCATTCATACTTGCTTGAATTTAGAATGTAGGTGATTGACCAACACGACTTCAGCTACTTGTCTGACTGATTTGGCTATTTTTAGATAGGGGTTAAAGGTTCTATCGACTCTGACCATTGACTCTTTTTGAAATCTTAATGATTGCAATAACAGTAGTTAGTGTAAATCCCATAAAGCCTAGGTACAAATAATTTTGGTCAAAGTTAAATGAAATATATTGAATGATTTCACAATTTTAGAAACTATGCGTTATATTAACTGCCAAGACTTACTTGTGGAAGATCAACTTTCAAAATAGATTCAACATCGCTTGGTCGAGAAAAATAATAGATGGAACATAATATTTAAATAACTGTATTGTTCTTGATCTCGTTAAATATGTAACTCTGTATGAAGTACAATATTCATATGGTTATGTGGTAATATAAAGTTAGGCTTTTACTTTTCATTTGTTGTATACAGATACGTAATTACACTGAAAGTCTCTAAAGGCACACGAAACACTAAAAGCCAGACTAAAGTGAGTGTGCGCAGAGGCCAACTACCTGTTGTGTACATAAAGAAACTTAAACCTGATCGGATCAATCCTTCCGAGAGACTGGTCGTGGAAAGTTACGTGACAAGTGGACCTAATGTCACCCTTCGCTGGGAAGTTGTGAGGGAGAAAGGTAACTAGTAATAAGTAAATCCCTGTAGACACCATTTGTTCTATTTCAAGAGTAAATAAAACCAAAACTAAGAGTAACAAATATTTTTTATTTCTAGCTTTTTAAGTTCATATGTCATGCTGTGATGTATGCTACAGAGGGCATAATTTTTCTCGTGATTCATGGCATGCGCACGTTTTACTGACTCACGACAGTATAACTTGCATTGTTAAGCATCCCTTAGATGACGTCTTTTTAATGTATACTGACTGGCTGACAGACAACACACTACTGCATAGTCATGCATATTGTTAAACTAGGTTGACCACCAGGTGGCCTTGGGTCCCTTTTCGGGGAAATAACTACAAACCTACATCAAATTCTATAAAGAAGAACTGGTTAGAATAGATATATTCTATTGTTACTATTCTATGATTCCATTCTCCTATGTAAGAAACAGAACAAGAAAGAAGCTTGAATTTGATGAGATAATGAGATAGGGATAATTTTATTTGACCGTTAAAGAAATACTCCCAACCTCCAACACACACACAAATTTATGGGATCTCCAAAATTTTTTAAGTGTAACGATAATGCTTGTATAAAACTACAATAAACATCTTAGCCAAATATGGTTTGAATCAGTGATTATCTCTTTAAGTCTAAAATGATTTTATCAAATTAATGAGACGTGGCATTGATAAAGTTAGAATGCACTTAGATAAGTTATTTTTGCTAATTATAATTTAAACAATAAAAACAACAACATAATTTTCAGAATATGCCCTCGCACCCTATGGAGGAGTAACGACGTCAATAGTGTTAAGGAACTACAATTCCAAGTTGGTCGACCGTCCATTTCCACTACTAATACCAGCTAAAAACCAGTGGTGGGCAGGACTACTAGGTGGCGCCCTCTATAAATTTCGTCTAACAGCAGAGCCAGTGGACGGTGGAGAACCAGGTTATGCTGACGTTGTTATGGAGACAAATAATCCACCGATCAAGGGAATGCTAAAGGTTAATTAACGATTAACTAATTTGTAACTTTTATCAAAATATTAATTACAAAAAAAAGATATGTCTAATGTCTTACAATAACATTATGCTTTAATTACAATTTTTATACCGAAATGTTCAAAGCTTTTCTGTCATGTTAAATATTCAATTAAAAGTCTGGATTTATTATTAATAATTTTGCGTAGACGTTTGTTTATCGTCATCGTTAAAAACTGTTATTATTTGTAACCCAACATTAATGTGTTTTTATTTCCGAGATGCTGATTACTATAAACGATACAGTTGACGCAGTTTAAAATATTTAAAAAAATGTAAAAAGTCTTATGGGATTGACTTAATTATTGCAGATCATCAGCTTTAAGTAAAAGACCTTCGAAACTTTTACTTTTGGAAGACGTTTTTACGACAGTAACAGAGTGTTAATTTTTTAAATTATCTTTTCTAAACTGCTAGAGTATAAACCAAATAGTCTAGTCATTTTAATTAAATTATGAAGTGAAACATTTTCAACAGTGTTTGCCTATCTAACTCCCACTCTACGGCGAGAACAATAAAATTAATCTTAGAATTTGTTTATGTTCCACGATAGTTCACTGAAGCCGTTAATTGTACATTCTAAGCAATGAGGAATATTCTCATTAAAATACATCTAAACAATACCTATAGAAAAAATAAAATATATATATTTTAATAAGCTTTAAACTGAATCCAATTACAATCAAGGTTAGAAATGAGGAAGTAGTTTATTATGTATTTTGTTTCAACTTAAATAACTGTGAACCTGTTTCTGAGAGATGACTCTCTCAGTCTAGCCTATTTATGTATATGATTATAGATCATTGTATGGCAGGAGAGAGATAAAGAATACAGCAGATATGTTGATTAGAATTATTGAAATAAAGTGGGGATGTTTTGTTGGTTATTTTATCAAAACTTATTAAACTTACATTAAAACATTATTTAAGTTATAGAGCTCCAGATTAGATATAGGGCTAAAGACTTTATCAAATCAATTTCTACTTGTAAAAACGACTATAAAACCCCTTAATTTAAACACCAAACACTTCTCTTCGTCTTTTTACCCAAATTCGCTCCAACAAAATTTGTAGGAGGAAAACAAAAAAACAATAGAAATTAATTAAGCAAATTTATTATTAAAAAAACGGATAACAAGACTAGGCCACAATTAGAAATACCGTTTTTTAATATTTTTTTAAGATTAAGATTTATTGTTATATCTATAATATAACAATATTTTATATTGATATTTTATTCAATGGCACTTTTCAATCGAGCCTGACGTGGTTTAGTTTTTACCATCAAGGCTGGGAATTGAGAAGTAGAAGTTTCAAGCTCCCAATATGCCAGTAAACACACACTATGTTTTAAAAATAACAGTCAATCCTGCTACTTGGTTAATTATATCTATGTAAGCGACGGGTGCAACAGACTGATTGCCCTCCCTCTGGTTGGCGAGGTAAAGAGACCAAGGATGGCTTTGTCGAAACCTTTTCTCTCTGACCTGACTGTTTAGTCCACATGTCATGTAAGATACTTTTCAGGTTAAAAATACCCAACACATGATAGAAATTCAGTACATAATGGTTTCTATTTGGTTTATTTTATTTTTCAATTTGTATAATTTAAGTCTTTTATTCAATTTTTATTATTATTTCAACAACTTTCAGTGTTTTTATGTATCCACAGCATACTTTACTTGGTATTTTTATGTATTCACAGCATACTTTACTTGGTATTTTTATCTACTGAACTCTTACTTTACTTGTTATTGTTGTATCCAAACAACCTAATCTAATTTATTAAATTATTGTGTTCTATATCTTTTTGAGAAGCACCCCGCTGGATAAATAGTAAGCTTACAAACTTAAAATTATAAAATCTGGACAGAACACAGATAACCTATTGTGTAGTTTGCATTAAACCAAAAACCGTTTGACAACCTGATTTCTCATAGTGACAGTATATATGAATGCTTGTCTTAGGGTAGTTTTCAAGTAAGAATAATTACGTTCATGATATCATAAATCTTGTCCTAGAAATATCTGTAACTTTTTCATATGCAAATTTAGTGATGCTCAATTTATAAAATCGGACATCCAAGAACATCTCTAATTAGCCTACATCTATAGGAGATGCTGCAATTATCCTTGCTTTTTAATCTACTTACCTTTTCCACATTCCGAGTTTGTTGTGGCTATACTTCGATAGAACACTAATTGTTTGAACTGCGTACTTTATGGCTCATCTCTAGCCGTGCACTGACGATTCAACATATTGTTACGTCTCTGGTGTTGGTTAATTTTCCGTAAAAATGCTTTCCGAAAAACTTCAGTGATACAAGTCCTTTCTTAAATAAAACTAGTTTATTCTTTCTCAGTACAACTTTGCAATACACTTAATTTCCACAGTCACTTTAACTTAAACACACGCTAGAATTCATAACGATTCACGCACTTTACTTTCGGCTTGACTCGATTATCTGTCTCTATATCTCTGTGTCTGCAATTCAATTATTTATGCCGTCACTTCTCGCCGGTCTTATATATACAAAATAGAGGGCGTCTAGCAAACACTCGAGCCTTCAGGAATGTTCGAGATACTCATTACGTGTTCCCAGAGTCACGTGACTTCTGCTGTCGTAACAATATTTATCTGATACATTTAAATGAAGCTTGCAGTACATTTTGAGAAAATGCCACGAAGTTGATTAATTGGACCTTAACATGCAGTAGTCATACATCAACTGTTACGTTATTTATTCTTTTGGCAGAGTAAAACACTCGAGGTTTTTCAGATCTCGTTTAACATTAAGCTGATATCACTCAACAGTTGCACGCGGTTTGGTCTATATTCTCTGACGAAAGTATATTTATTGTAAAGAGTTACAAATATCTTTCTATTCAAGTTGTTAAAGTTAAACCATCATAATAATCTTAAAATATATGGGTTTTTTGTTGTATTTTACTCATAGATTAAATGTATGAAATCGATATTAGAATTATCGTGAATATGTGTGGAGTTTATAAATATTTATTAATGACCTACAGGGTGCGCTGGCAACAAGGGACATAAATGTATGTAATACAAAAACTTATTTATATTATAGAAGTATTATATTGAATTATTTTGATAATTTATCGCTTCTATGGAACTTTTCTACTTATGTTTATAGGTGGTGCCACCATCTGGTATTGCCTTAAAAACCCAGTTTATATTAGATGCTACAGAAGGATGGAGAGACTCTCCCGAAGACTATTCACTCACTTACACGTTTTCATACAGTCTTTCTATCAATGACACCGACACTCCCATCGCTACTATTACTCGAGCGCCACCTCGTATCGAAAATGTAGCTTTTCCTGGAGGTAATCTTTTAAAAATAAAACATATAAAAGGATATTTTTTATGGATATGAAGTAAAAATAATTATGCAGTATCTCTCTCTCTCTCTCTCTCTATATATATATATATATACACACACACATAACAAAATATCTGTAATGTACACATGTTTATTTATCTGTAAGCTAAGGTAACTGAATGTTTTACATTAGGTACTGGAGGACGTATCAAAATACACAACTGGGTTAATTTAGATTAAAGGTTATTTTGAATGTATTATATCCACCTTCTCTTAGACATAGTCATGTAATTATGTTATGTCTGTATTTATCTTTCCGAAAGGTTATTTTATTCTATTGATAACCATTAAAATTTACAGTTCTTTCATATTGGTTTCGAAATCGATAAGTATGTAAGAGTAAAAGTGTATGTTAAGTAATTTTTCTTATCTCGAAAAATAATTGGAATTTCCTTCAGTAGTAATGGACATTTTCTTCTTTATTAATGGAAATTTCTTTCAGTAGTAATGGACATTTCCTTCAATAGCAACGGACATTTTCTTTAGTGGTAAAAGTAATTTTCTTCAGTAGTAATGGACATTTCCTTTAGTGGTAAAAGTCATTTTCTTCAGTAGTAATGGACATTTCCTTTAGTGGTAAAAGTCATTTTCTTCAGTAGTAATGGACATTTCCTTTAGTGGTAAAAGACATTTTCTTCAGTAGTAATGAACATTTTCTCTAGTAGTAATGGACATTTCATTTAGTGGTAAAAGACATTTTCTTCAGTAGTAATGGACATTTCCTTTAGTGGTAAAAGACATTTTCTTCAGTAGTAATGGATATTTCTTTTAGTGGTAAAAGACATTTTCTTCAGTAGTAATGGGCATTTCCTTTAGTGGTAAAAGACATTTTCTTCAGTAGTAATGGACATTTCCTTTAGTGGTAAAAGACATTTTCTTCAGTAGTAATGGACATTTCCTTTAGTGGTAAAAGACATTTTCTTTAGTGGTAAAAGTCATTTTCTTCAGTAGTAATGGACATTTCCTTTCGTGGTAAAAGACATTTTCTTCAGTAGTAATGGACATTTCCTTTAGTGGTAAAAGACATTTCTTCAGTAGTAATGGACGTTTCCTTTAGTGGTAAAAGACATTTTCTTCAGTAGTAATGGACATTTCCTTTAGTGGTAAAAGACATTTTCTTCAGTAGTAATGGATATTTCTTTCAGTAGTAATGGACATTTCCTTCAGTGGTAAAAGACATTTTCTTTAGTGGTAACTGGAATTTCTTTGAAACTATTCGTGTAATTCACATAAATGTTGAAAAGTTGTATACTCTATTAAAGAAATATATGAACAGTATTAATTATACGTAGTATGCCTAAGTAAGTGGGTAATTGTTTTTTAAGAAGTATAATGATTTTAACAAACGTTTTTCCTTACTACCCACTCAGTATCAAGCCAGGATACTACTATTATAGTTCAAGTCAAAGTATGCGATATCCTCGACTCGTGTAGCACCACTGAGCAAACCGTCTCTATACAACCTTTGTCGTCTTTCTCGAATGACGAATTCGATCTGTTGAATAAAACGGTTCTTGAATACTTAAATCAAGGTATTTATTGTTTTAATGATTTCTAAAATTTCTCTTCATTGCTGTATCTCTTTATACCGAATGTTGCATTTCGGGACATGTGATGACGTGTTAATGATATATTGTTACAGTTTCAGGTAAAGCTGTATGTATTAACAGTTAACTTAGAAAACTATCATATCAATTTGGAACTAATATTAGAGGATTTAATCACGAAAACCTAAATCCTTGAATACATATTTAACGCTTAAATCTTTGTAAGATTCCGTGTCTAATCTCAGTATGTTAATATGTGTAAAATAAAACTTGTTTTTTTTTTTACCAATTTTCAAATATATGACATCGTAAGGTCTGAAAAGGGGAGGCATTGAAACTCGAGAAAAATATATTTTTTATTTGTTTGAAGTTAAGCATAAAGCTACATAATGGACTATCTGTGCTATACCCATCACTGGTATCAAAACCCGGTTTCTAGCGTTGTAAATCCACAGACATACCGCTGGGCCCCTGGGGGGGGGGGCAAAAATATTTAAAGCACGGATGTTCTACAATGAAAAACACACTATAATTCAGTTTTGTTTTTTGCTGTTTTACGTTTCTCTA